CCATCATCCAGAAATAGCTGTCCTTAAAGAATGTGGGCATGGCTTATTGGAGATGTTTTTTGACTTATCAGCTAAGAGACATTCTTTAACAAGGTATTTAAAACGTACTTAAGAAGGCTGGGTGTGGTGGCTCACACCTATAATTCCAGTACTTTGGGAGGTGAGAGGATTGCCTAAGACCACAGGTTTGAGACCAGCCTGGGCACCTTGGCGAAACCTTGTCTCTACAATAAATCAAAAAATTAGTCAGACATGGAGGCACATGCCTGTAGTTCCACCTATTTGGAAGGCTGAGGCGGAAGGATCACCTGAGCCCAGCAGGTCAAGGCTGTGAGGGCCATGAGCATGCTACAGTACTCCAGCCTGGGAGACAGAATAAGACTCCAACTCAAAAGAAAAAAGTATTTAACAAGTATTTAAAGACAGTATTTAGCAAGGTTGTGGTGCATTCTTCCAGGATGTGATATATGCTCTCAATAGTGACCAGTATATTTCTTCCATAGCTATATCTAAAGGTTAGAAGTAGGAGTAATCTCTCTTAGAATCACAGATAATCACCAGCTTGAAAAATGTTGCTACTTTCACCACAACTTTGGGTTCTGTTAGGTTAGTGGTCTTGGTAGTAAAAAGATAGACGCTTTTACGTGAAAAACAGCAATGACTCCCTTGAACTTGAAATTGAGATTGCTGCCAGACTATTTGGGGCTCCTAATTCCACTGGAAAAAGGGGTAGAGGAACAAGAGGCACTACCTGCTCACATGATTAATCCTGCTCATCATGGAGGAAGAGAGTTGCTGGCTCATAGTAGAGTTAGGGAGGAATAATTCTGGAACCCAGAAGATCCGTGCAGGTGCCTTCTGATACTCTATGTACAGTGGCAAAAGTTACCAGAAGAGTAGAGCATCTTCCGCATTCAAGACCAAGAATGCTTACACCTTGCAGGAATTAGAGAAGGTTTGGATCTCATCACCAGGTTAGAATCTTGAGTTGATGTTCTGGCAAAGGGAAGATGGAATGGGTTGTAGAGGGAGAAAGTTATAAATACACCTTAAGCCTTGTAACCAGATGCAGAGCCCAGGACTATAGTAGTTGCCCATATTTTCTTCCTTGCTCAGTTATGTAAGTGCCTACAGATAAAGTCAGAGGGAAAGGCTTAATGTTATACAGTCAGGAACAACAGCAGCTAGATTAAAAACCAAAACAGAATACAGACTATTTCAGTGTAAATCTCACTGCTACTTTGTCCCCAACATGGCACCATGGATGAATGCAGTGATGCCTTGGACATCATTTATCTCCAGGCTAGTATTTTCCTCCTCCATTTTTCCTACAATTTTATACAAGGTAAATTGGTGCTGATGAACTCTGTAATTCAGTGCATAGGATATAAAGATGAATTAGAGGTAACAGGTGACTGACGGGATTTGGCAGGCGTGGAGTTGGGGTAAAGGTAGAAAACAAACACATTTTCTTTTTCTTTTTTTTTTCTTTTCTTTTTTTTTTTTTTTTGAGTCAGTCTCACTCTGATGCCTAGGCTGGAGTGTAGTGGCATGCTCATGGCCACCGCAGCCTCAACCTGCCTGCTGGCTCAGGCGATCCTTCCACCTCAGCCTTCCAAGTAACTGGAACTACAGGCGTGCGCTGTCACACTCGTCTTATTTTTTTATTTATTGTAGAGACGAGGTCTCACCAAGTTTCCCAGGCTGGTCTCGAACCCCTGAGCTCAGGCAGTCTTCTTGCCTCTGCCTTCCAAAGTGCTGGGATTATGGCCTTGAGCCACCGCACCCAGCCCACACAATTTCGCTTGTGTGAGGAAGAGTTGCTTTGTGTTAGTAGGAGCATGTTGTTGCTACTGCTGTCATTTGGACATTTAAATGTGGGGAAGAAGGGTGTATTTGAATAAGTGAGAGTAGCGAGAATGTCAGATCAAGAAGGACACTGTAGATTGATGCTCAACACCCATTTTTGCTGTCTTATGGGAGATCTAGTTGTCTTTGTGAACTGTAGAAATTAGAAAAAGGAAAACTACATTTCCCAGATGGCTTTGCAACTGGCCCGTTGGATGTTGCCTTGGCTTTGTCAAGTAGACCTCTTTGCAAGTATCTTGGAAAGAAGATGTGAGCAAGGTGAGGCAGCCTCCATGCATGTGGCCAGCTCTTACTGCAAGCACAGTGGTGATGGGATATGGGAAGGTTCTGGTATCTGGTCCAAGGCATCACTGCATCCATCATAGGTGCTGTTTTGGGGAGAATAGAAGTAAGATTTCTACTGAAACAGTCTGTATTTTGTTTTGTTTTGATTCTTAACCTGGTGCTGTTGTACCTAGCTGCATAACATTGAACCTTTCCTTTTGACTTTATGAGATATTCTGTGAACTACTATTACCTTGTGCTTAAAATATATTCTGCAGTCTGAAACCAAGAGCCCTGTCCAACACAATAGGCATTTCATACAGTTTGGATGGATGGATGGATGGATGAATGTATGAACAGGCTCTTGAAAATTGTGGGGCAGCTTACTCCACACTAAATGGCACCAAACTACAGCGATTTTAGTTTGTATTTCTCTTTGCCTTTCTATTTCTTCTCTATTGTTCATTTCTCACCTGTCATTCTTCTCTACTCTCAGTATTCTGCCTCTGATAGTGTCAATCATCCTATTTGCTATGGCTAAACAGCTAAAGGCTAAAAGCTGTACACTAAGCTAAAATGAATTCTAGGGAAGGAAGAATGATTAGGCCATGAGTCAAGGCCTTTCCTACAGAATGAAGTGCATGGATTTCAGCACAATGGTTCCTGACAGCTGTTTGAGCCATTTGGGTGCTTTTTCCTCTTTGTCACTGTGTGCCTATGTTTCTAGAGATTCAGCTTCCCAAAACTCTGACATCTTTTAAAATAAGGCACAATTGGATTCCCTCTTGTAGAATCTGAGAGCTTTTGTTTTTGTTTTTGTACCATGACTGTCTGCTTCTCCTATTTAAGTGGTAGCATTGCCCCCTAAAAAAGAATTTTAAATGGCGAAAATAAGTTTAGCCTAATTTTTGTTAAATCAGAAGTAAGGTTAACTCTCATTATTCACCAGCAGGTAACCTATACTGAACATTATCCATAGATAATCTTATTTCCCACCATTATTGATCTTTGAAGGATCCATTATCTTCTTGCCTTTCTTGGTCTCCTTGTAAGAGAAGTCACTTACCTGGACGACTTGTGGGAATTCCTCCATAAGGGACATGTTGGAGAGGGCTAGTGTACTCTGGCACCACTAGTTCAAAGGAACTGTGGGCCACTGATTGTCCCTCTACCATACCCACCTCTTTCCACTTCTGGATTTTCACATGTGACAATCACTGAACAGAAGAACTGCAAGGGAGATCAAGTTGGTGATTAACTTTCCCAAATGCACTTGTGGCACAGGAGGGATGGAACAAGGAACTGCCCATGCCCAAGGACTTCTTAAAACACATTTCTGTATTACTAGGGATTACCACTGTCGAATGCCAAATGAGAACCTTGAAGTGTTCACATTCTTGCATGCATCAAAACCCCTGGCTATCACTAGGGTTGGAGATACTAAATGAATGTAATTGATGCTTTCACTTCAGGAAGGATCTAGGGGCAGGTTAGGTAAGGAGTCAGGAAATCTCCATTCTAATAGTGTTTGGTAGCAGGAGACTAATGAGAGTAGTTATCATCACTACTGAAAAAAATGATATTAGGAAATCTTGGGTAAGTGGAAGCTGAATTTTGGTAGCATTGAACTTGTGGGGAAGGCAAAATAGTCTTGTACAGATATTTGACTGGAAGGTTCTTGCCCTGCCTTAACCTTCTGGTCCTCGATTAAAGCCCCCAGACCACAGATGAACATCTAACTGTCCTGAGGATGGCTTACTTTGCCATGTGCCAGTTGGGCTCAGGGAATGGACAGGACATGTTGCCTACTTTGGGGCTTTAGTGTGGAGTCATACATACAAAGGACTTGGAAAACCTGTGGATGGGAACCTGGCACCAGGAATGATTTGTAGGCATGTTGGCTGGCTGTCTCCAAGGGCTGCTTTATTCATCTGATGCATTTTATCACTGAGTAGCTCACAGTGAATAAAGCTGACAGCAGTACAAGCCCAGAACTGAGGGAGAGATGTGGCTTCACCAAGAGTTTAAAAGGAATACAAATGCTGTGAGTTAGCAATGTTTCTGCCCAAGAAGCTAATGCAGCACTGGCTGGAAGATCGGTTGACTACCACTGTCAGCCTCTGTTGTGTGGACAATTGGAAATTAATGACATAATGTATATGATGTTATATGTATATTTTAAAGACTTGCCTTGTTGTGTTGCCCAGGCTGGTCTTGAACTCCTGACCTCCAGTGATACTCCTGCCTCAACCTCCCAAGTAGCTGAAAATACAAGTTATTTTATCACTTAAATGAGAACAGGACTTGGTTTCTTCAGTTAATTAAATATTGCTTTGTTCTTTAAATACATGTGCACTGAGATATTTGTGTACTGGCTCTTTTCCTCAAAGAGGTTTCTTGAGGCAGGATCTGTGTCTAGACACCTGCATGCACATGTAGTGTTTCTTTTCTTTTCTTTTTGAGTTGGAGACTCACTCTGTTGCCCAGGCTGGAGTGCAGTGGCATGCTCCCGGCCACTGCAACCTTGACCTGCTGGACTCAGGTGATCCTTCTGTCTCAGCCTTCCAAGTAGCTGGAACTACAGGCGCACACTACCATGCCTGGCTAACTTTTTTTAATTTATTGTAGAGATGAGGTCTCACCAAGTTGCCTGGGTTGGACTCGAACCCACGGACTCAGGCAATCCTCTCACCTTGGCCTCCCAAAGTGCTGGGATTATAGGCTTGAGCCACCGTGCCCAGCCCACGTAGTGTTTCTTGCAGTGTCCCACAGGCAGCAGGAGTTCAATAGTAACTATGTGAGAGAGTAAACGGCTTTTACTTGATGCCTGTATGCTGTAACCCACCTCTGGCTTCTTCCATCCACAGCTGTGCTTGTCTGATAAATTGTGGGAGCAGATAGTCCTGTCATGCTGTGATACCATCACTTCTGACATGAAGGCCCTGGCAGAGGACATCGGCTGGAGGAAGATGTTCTTCACCAACAAGCTCCAGCATCAGCGGCAGCTCCGCAGGAGAAAACAGAAATATGGAAGCCCAAGAGAGAAGCAACCTTAGGGACACATTTTCCTACCAGCAAGGGTGCTGGGGCATGGTTGTGGTTCTCTTCAATGTCTAAATCTCTTCTGTGTCCTTTTCTTAAGAACGAAGAGGTTTTACTGATTCAAAAGCCATTTGAAAAGCATAGAGGATTTTCACACTAATACAGCAGACCCCGGCTGCCCATTGCCTTGCTTGAGTCACTGCCCCTGTTGTTCAGAGGTCAGAACATGGTTCAAGTACAAAAATTGCAAGACAGGAAGCCCCACAGGACACCATCTTCCTACCCCCTGACACTCATAAGAAAAGAAGCTTCTGCTGTCTAGAATCAGACAATAAATATTAGCAGGTTTTTATTAGACATCTATTTTACCTAAGCATTGAAAAGGGAATTGGGCTTTTGAATTTTTTCCTGATGTTGTATCATCAGAATCCATCCACAGAGCAGGTGGTTGAGTGTCCCCAAAGGGAACTGTGAGGGGCAGGTGCCACGAGAGGCACTCCAGGTGAGTGCAGCATCACTGGGTCCATATTCAGGGCATCCTTGTGGGTCCAAGACACCAGGCTCCATCCCCCCATGTAGACGACCTTGAACCTGGAGCTGGGGCATAGCTGGAGTTGTACAGGCATTCTGCTTGAAGACTTCACTCAAAGTACAACTCCTCAGGACTGCACATTGTTAAATAAACCTATAAACATTTTTTAGATGGATGCTACTTTCCCAAAGGAATGTGGATAGCTACCACTTTTAACAAGTAGTTTTGTTTTTTTTTTGAGTTGGAGTCTCACTCTGTCGCCTAGACTGGAGTGCAGTGGCCGCTCCCGGCCAACGCAGCCTCGACCTGCTGGGCTCCAGTGATCCTTCCGCCTCAGCCTTCCAAGTAGCCGGAATTACAGGCATGCGCTACCACGCCCGGCTGATTTTTTGATTTATTGTAGAGATGAGGTCTCGCTGCCCAGGAGGTTCTTGAACCCGCAGGCTCAGGCAATCCACTCACCTCAGCCTCCCAAAGGCACGGGATTACAGGCTGAGCCACCGAGCCCGGCTTAACAAGTAGTTTTAAGAACAACAGGCTATGGGTAACTTCATGAAAATATAAGTATGGTTGGCATTCTGTCAAAGTGGCAGAAGGGTAAAAACAGTGAAGTATTAGGGAAGACAGATCTACCTCCCCGAGAAGGGTTATTTAAAAATTTGTTTTCTCCGTGTTCTTTCATGATGATTAAATAACCCCAGATAATGAACTCAGAACAGCAAATAATTTAATGGCTCCTTTTAGGAAACAGAGCAATGTAGCTTTCTACCTCCACATTTACCTTGTTAACCATATCATTTATTCTTCCCTGCAACCTCCACTTTCCTACCTAGAAAAAAATAACATACCTCCCATGCCAGAGAAACTGCCCAGGATGTACCAGGCCCTCCCGAATGGTACATAAGTGGTGGACTCTGGCTCTTCTCCCCTATGGCTAAGTCTTTTCAGAAGGGTGCAACAGCATGGCTTAGTGACAGATATATATATATATTTGAGTTGGACTCTCACTCTGTCCCCGAAGCTGGAATGAATTGGCATGCTCATGGCCACCACAGCCTCAACCTGCTGGGCTCAGGTGATCAGTCCACCTCAGCCTTCCAAGTAGCTGGAACTACAGGCACATGCCACCATGCCCAGCTAAATTTTTTTAAATTATTGTAGAGATGAGGTTTCACCAAATTGACCAAGCTGGTTTCGAACCCGCGAGCTCAGGCAATCCTCTCACCTCGGCTCCCAAAGTGCTGGAATTATAGGTGTGAGCCACTGCGCCCGACCCAGATATGTTTTTTTAAAAGTAAACCCATGTCAACATCAAACTAGATTTTAGCCCTCTTCCACCATCCTGAAAACCAATTCATATTGCTCCCCAGTGCCAACCTAGCCCTCTCTGCTTCTCATTGTTCGAGGTTCACACAGTTGTAAGTTTCAAGGAACATCAAATGCAATCTGCTTCCTAGCAGATGAGGAGCCTGTCAAAGTTGTGTGCAAATTTAGTCCAAGCAAATATTTATTTGTCGAGAGACCCAAGCCTCATTGCTGAGAGTCTGCTGGGCGGGTGCAGGTGACAGGCAGGCAACTTGGAGGGCACAAAGGCGTGTGCTCTGTATGGTTCCTGCTGCCTTGTCTGTCTCTGAGCTTCCAGCCTTTACCCACAGCCTGATTTTCAGTGACAGAACATGGGTTAATATCATGAGTTTCAATGATCACAATTAGGTATGTCAACATAACTTCATGAATATGTAACTACAACTCATTTGTAACATCAGTGCTAAATGTCAACAGCTTAAAGTAGTATCATGTAGTGTTTTATCAACAAACAGATTCTGAAAGCTAATGGACATGCATAATTGCCAATATTCAACAGTAAAATTTATGAATCAGTAAAACCAAATGTGGCCATTTGAGAACACTTATTCCTTCTCTCTGTATCTGCATACATATATGTTTTCTTTTTTTCTTTATTTTTTTGAGTTGGAGTCTTGTTTTTGTCACCCAGGCTGGAGTATAGTAGCACACTTAGGGCCACCACAGCCTTGACCTGCTGGGCTCAGGTGATCCTTCCTCCTCAGCCTTCCAAGTAGCTGGAACTACAGGCATGTACTACCAAGCTCAGCTCATTTTTCCTGATTTATTGTAGAGACAAGGTCTCACCAAGTTGCCCAGACTGGTCTCTAACCTGTGGACTCAAGCAATTCTTTCACCTCGGCCTCTCAAAGTGCTGGGATTATAGGCGTGAGCCACCACATCTGGGCTGTATGTTTTCTATACAGTATATACTTAGGTGTAGTATATAACAAAAATAGATGCCAAAGCAAATAATTCAAAATAAGTGTTATTAATATATTAACTTATTAAATAATAGTTCAAATGATATAGATTAAATGATTTCAATAACTACTTGTCCTAATAATTTGAGTGCCTTATTACTTGATCATCATTATTTTTGCCAAAATACAAACAATATCATCAAGCTAACATCTTGTATATCTCCAATGTCCTCTCTCCCCAGCCTCATTTCTCATGTGAGAGCCCATGTGATGATCCTATCAGATGGTAATAGGCAGCAATGGTCTTGCCTCATTACCTTGTTAGATGAAAAACTTTGGATTTAAATTTAACAGAGTTTATTTGAGAAAAAAAGACTCACGAATCAGGAAGCCCCTATAATCACATCAGATTCAGAAAGATTCAGGGATGCTGTATTGATGGAGCAAATTTGTGGGCAGAAAAAGGAAAGTGACATACAGAAACAGAAATGAGGTATAGAAACAGCCAGCTTGGTTACATCTCAGCATTTACCCTATTAGAATACAGTTCAAACAGTTGTCTGCCTGTGATTGGTTACAGTATGGTTGATGGGTTGGCTGAGGCTCAGATGTTGTCACAGAAGCATACTCCTAAGTTAGGTTTTCAGTTGACTGCCTGCTAAGTTATGCTGGGATTCATCCGTAAGGACTCAAGTGTGGGAGTACAGAGCCTTTCTCAGGCCAGATTTTAGTTTCATTTAGTAGCCTCTATTAACAGTTTTCATATGGACGAATAAATCTTCTATGTTTATAACATCATATTTCAGAGTGAAATGCCAGTGTTTTATTATCTTGCCATTTTTCATCTTTTCAGTCCAATGTGTTTCTACTTTGTTCTCACCTACCATTATAATTATAAAAGTAAAATACTGATAATTTGTATGATTTACATATTATAAGAACAATGTACTAGCAATAGCAAATATGTATATTTGTAAATTAAAAAATATATATTTTACTTAATGTCAGCTTTTACTACTACTTTTTTTCCTGAACAGGTTGGCATTCTACATGTATTAAACTTCAGTAATACAGAATCAAAAAAATTTTATTTTACCGAGTGGATCCCAGAAGGAAGACTGAGATGATCATTTGGGGACTGACTGAAAGCAGGGGTAAGGGCAACATGCTAGGTAGGTACCACTTGCCATTGTTTTACAAGCCGTTTGTATACACAATGATCATCTGTTCTCATTTATTACCCTAAACTGGCTGCTAAGATGCCGAAGAGTAATATCAAACAACTTTACTAAAAACATAAAACATGTACCTCACAGTCTTTTGCTCTGAGTTTGAGTATAATGACATTTATCTTCAGTTTTTACTAAGATAGTATACTGTGAGGGAGTATCCAAGCTTTTCACCTCTGAACAGTTGATTTCAACTTAAAATGGATGTTTTTGATTGTTAAAAATATCAAGTGATAAAAAAATCTTGAGACAATGACAACAGAAACAATATATCAAAACCTATGGGATGCAGCAAAAACAGTTCCAAGGGGGAAATTTATAGCCATAAATGCCCATATTAAAAAAGAAGAAAGATCCCAAATAAATAGCCTAACAATATATCTCAAGGAGCTAGAAAAGGAAGAACAAATAATTATATGCCACCAAACCCAAAGTTAGCAGAAGGAAGGAAATAATAAAGATCAGAGCAGAAATAAATAGAAAACAGAAAAATCAGAGGGAAAAAAATCAATAAAACCAAGTGTTGGATTTTTGAAAACATAAACAAAATCAACAAATCCGTAGCTAGACTAAGAAAGAAAGAACAAAGACTCAAATAAAATCAGAGTTGAAAGTGGAGACATTACAACAGATGCCTCAGAAATAAAAAGAATCATAAGGGACTATTATGAATAATTATATGCCAACAAATCAGATAACCTAAAAGAAATGGATAAATTGCTACAAAAACATAATCTATAAAGATTGAATCAGCAAGAAATAGCTTGAACAGAATAATAAAGCAAAAATAAACAAAGAAACTAGAGAAATAATTAGAAACCTTCCAACAAAGAAAAACCCAGGACCAGATAGCTTTCATGGTTGAATTCTACCAAATACTCAAAGAATTTTTACCAGTACTTCTTAAACTCTTCCAAAAAACAGAACTAGAGGGAATACTTCCAAATACATTTTATGAAGTCAGCATTACCTTGCTACCTAAGGCAGACTAAAACACCGCGAGAGAAGAAAACTTTAGGCCAATATCTCTGATGAACATGAATGCAAAAATCCTCAATAAAATATTAGCAAGCTGAATTTAACAACACATCAAAAAGATTACACATTGTGACTGGGCACAGTGGCTCAAAGTACTGTAATCCCAGTACTTTGGAAAGCCTAGGCAAGAGGATTGCTTGAACCCAGGAATTCAAGACCATCCTGGGCAATGTAGCGAGACCTCGTCTCTATAAAAAAATCAAAAGATTAGTCAGGCATGGTGGGATATGTCTTTAGTCACAGCTACTCAGAAGACTGAGGTGGAAGGATCATCTGAG